TCTGTAGTGAAACATAAAATAAATAAATTCTTACAAACTAACTCGTGTAAATGATTCTGGTTCCTATTAGTGATTACATGCAGAACTAATTTGCCTGGTGTGATTTCTAGTGGTAACTAGTGACCAGTGGGGTCTACCAACTTGAGAGTGAGCACAAATTTTCGCGAGGATAAAACTGGCTGATACCAGTCACGCAAAAGTCACCAATCCTTAGAGTTACGAATTCGTGTGCTTGCAGATTGATTCGAGTCTGAATAGCTTAATGGTCCACAAGTTTGTCTTAAAATCGGAAGGTCCTGCAGTCAAACACCAAAGCTTGCGTACTTTCTATAATTCCCGAACTAGGATGACGCAATAACAGTTAATTACTCCCTGGTGTTTTCTAACTGATACCAATCCATCGTCGAAATTGGAACTAGTGAACTTTTGTTTCATTTTTCATACATGCCGAAAATTCTGTTACAAATCGATGAAAAGTGAAATTACAGATCTGTTCAAACATTTTGGTTCGAAACGGATTTAGTTTCATAAATATTTGACGAATTATATGTGTTCATGTTACTTTGTTTCACTGTTTTATGCAAGCTAAAACCCCCTTATTTTCCGAAGGGAATGATGAAGATAAAGTCTTAGTGTACATAGTATAATGACCAGTAGATATTACGCAGTCGAAAACAAGAACAACAGTTTCTACAGAATTCAAATGGTAACAACATTCTTTTCGTTGTCTTCTCATCAACTCCTTAGAAACCCAAATTCAATATGAAGTTTATCCAGAGAAACAATTTTAACATAATTACACAGAGTTCATTTTTAAACAAAAACTGATCAATACCGATAATATTTTCACTTTGAAAACAGCAACATTTTACGTTTCAACTACAAATTATTGCTCTTAATATTATCAATATCACATCAAAATCACGTTTTAAATTAATAGGAATATAAGCAATAAATTGTGCTCAAAACGTCAATTATGACAGTATAACAATGTGTGATTTTATCGAGTTATAAATATATATATATTGCTTCGGTGAAGCTAGGGTTAATTGAAGTCTTTTATCTATTGAAAATAGCATAGGAACCTCCTAAGTCCACTCAATTTCCCGTGACAAGGAGATGCGTGGCTGCAGCATTGTATAAGGCATTTATTTCCTCTCCAGCCAGTCCCAAGCCAGGGCAGAGAGGGAGGCTTGTGTATGAGGAAAGAAACTTCACACCACTTAAAATATCAAGTGTTAGAGAAATTTCAACGCACAGACAATAGATTATGAATACAAAAAATCAAATAACAATATTTTTCTTGGAAAGAATCAGAGAGGCGAAGTGACTCAGCAGACTGGCGAAAGCCAGCACTCAGAAAGCCAGTCATCTGGTCGAAATGGGACTTCACTCTCTAAACAAAAGCGAGAACAAAAAGGTAGAAGTGAAATGTTCATAACGTGTACGAGAATGGCTGGGAAGGCTGCCTAGGTAGCCAAAGAAACGCGTTTATATTACCTAGAAGAGATGAGTATCCTTGAGAGCAAATCGAAAGGATGTGTGGTAAAGAAATTGTCTGATGTGCAGTCGGTAATCTACTTTAGTCTGGTCAACCAGAGAGCAACCATGAGCACCAAGATGGAGTGAATACATACAATCCAGTGGCAGCAAAAGACTAAATACAGTGGGAAACAATTCCATCTGGTTATATTGCAGCAAGAGAGAAAATAAAGAAATATATCACAGTGATAAACTGATACACAGCGCAATACTCAGGGAATCTAATGAGTGAGCAACAACCAGGGGAAGGCGCACAACACTTCCGTTTAATTGGGAACTCTCGCTCCCCTTAACAGTTAATGAGTCATGTCTATGAACTATGTGAGTACCTCGGTGGCGCTCTTTGTATTCAGCGAATGAACGCTTTCCGACGAATTCATTATATAACTGTACAATCGGATGTACATAGTTTTCTTGAAAAGATTATATCCGGTGGGGGAATTGAATCAAAGGTGTCAATCCACAAAATAATAATAGCAGTATTAAATGCAAAGAAAATCTTTGTGATAACAGTCATAGTTGAGTGTCCAGTGGGAAGACAATCAGTGTCATATAAAGAATGATTCATGAATCGTTTACTAATTCCAATGTGAATTTAAACGCAGAATCGGAATTCCTAAATTCTTGTTAGATACAGTTGATTTCTCTGTACTACAGAAGCCCTCACAATGTGCATTGATATGTCGGAGCTGTGTGGTCAAAGGAAATCATTCCATCCTCCACGATATCATGCACCTAGTTCGGTGTGTTCTAATAGCCTCCGGTTTTTAATTTTTTCGTTCGCTGTGTGTGTATGTGATTTTTCTCACTTTGTCTCGATTCAATTCATCCATGCTCTTTCCTATCACATTCATAGTTCGTTTAAATTAAGTATTTTAAAATTACATCCTAGTCCTGTAACCAACATTGACACCTCCTAGCTTGCATTTGATTTCGAAAATTATTATTTCACTCTGTTTCCATGCTCATTGTCTACACACCTGTAATTCGTCCTAATTCATTATGATTTTGTTTTCAGGCCTCTCGTGAGCCATATCTGGTTAAAGATAATTGTCACCGTTTATTCGCCTTCGTAAATACGTGAAATCAAATAAAATCGGTATGTATGTGAAACAATGTATTTAAATGTGATGTTACAGCTTTTGATAATGAAATCACCGAAAAGATAACTTTGCTGAACTTCGTGTTCTCTTGTTTCAGGTGAATATATTTCGCTTCCAGCCACTTACGAATGTGTTCTGCAGGCCGCCTATTCTCCACAGATCAACGATTCCTTAAAATTACCGTAGAACTTGGGCACCGCGGTATGACGTAATTATATATTAGATGACTTCATTTTAAATATCACACATTGATGGGTCATTATTTATTCAGTTAGGTAGCTGGAGAGAGAGAGGTTGATCACTGAAGCTTTGTTCATTGATTCAACACCGCGCACGTGGAATCGGAATGACGCAAAGTCTACACCAAAATTCCGAAATTGTCAAAGGGAAGTTGCACAGAGAGAAAGAGAGGAAATACATATGAGGCAAATTGTGAAAACGTGTGACCGATGCTGACATGATTATCAACAAGAATGTGTGCTCAAAACGTCATCTAGTTGTTGATAGTGCGTCACTGTGTTACATTTAACATTAACTTATCTAATATGGAATCTACAAGTCCTCAGTATTACGTGTGGCTGCAAATGCATGTAAATTGATAGACACAGTGGGATGTGACATTATCATTCCTATGTTTTGAGGGTTTACAGGACAGAATAAACCTTATGTGCTCACTGAAGAAATAAGTCGAATGAGGACCAGGCATATTGTAGAACCTTCCTGAAAGTGCATATGAGACTCTAAAGATGCGTTAGTCCTTTTAAGGTGGTATTAATGCGATGTTGATCAGAGGCAGGAACTGCGAAACCATGGTCCAGGTTCTCCAGCTGATTGCCCACATAATAATATGTGACAATAGATATGTGTGAGTTCAACTTCAGTGTTAACTCACGTGAAATCTGGTGCAGGGATAAATTTCATGAAGAATATAAAATCATTTGTATTCAAATATTGAATAGGCTCAGTTATATTTGACATCAGATTACACTACAGTCTGCGAGTGTCTATTTAGTGTGCTACAAACAGTCAGAATTAGACAGTCGTATTTTACTGGACTTCGTAATTGTAGAGGACTGGTTAAGTTTCACCTTCTGCATCTTACTAGAAGATTCGATGAGGTAGTCGTAGCGATTCTGCTTTCTTTATCGACGTCATTTCGGATGGGTGGAGTGATTTCGTCATTGTTGGGCAGGGTGATCCAAGTGAATTGAATTTTCTGAAGACAAAATCTCCACGAAACTAATACATTTGTATTGTAACACTGATTCCTTTCATTGCCAGAATAGTCAAATTAGCACGGGTACTGCTCAAATTTCAGCCCATCTATTTAAAGAATCCTTTAATCCTCAAATCGCACATGTGTGCCTAACTGCCACCCTGCATTATTCCATGGAAATCAATGCGTACTCAGCTAGTAACTTGATGTATTTTATGCTGAGCAAAACGCATTCTATTTTACGCAGATATCAAAATAAAATCACGCATCACTCTACTTGTAACTTCAGAAAAGTAGTGAAATTCATTTTCTAATGTTCTTCATGGTTTACTAACAGCCCACTACTACTTCTGCTACTACTATACTAATACTAGTATATTCTTTCTTCTTCTTTTCTTCGTCTTTCTCTGCTTTACCTTTATTCTGCGGTATCTTCTGTGTTGAATATTATAAAGTTATTCTCATTTAATTATCTTTAGTTGAGTGACGTTCATTTTGTCTAAATTAAGTAATGTGAGCAATCTGATACTGACGTGAACCTTTCTTACTCATGTCAGGTTGTTTTTTCTATGTTTCTTTGTTTGCTTGTTATGTTCAAATATTTGCCTTTGTTTTTCTCTTCCAAATCCATTTCATAGTCAGTTGAGTGTGTAGTGTGCTCATTCCGCATTCAGCGCATTCCAGTCAGCCTAATTAGGCTTCTAGCAAGCCAGAATATACGAGTACATTCACCGATTCACAAGTTTTATAAAAATGAACGTCACTCAACTGAAGATAATTAAATGAGAATAATTTTTTAATATTCAATACAGAAAATACCACAGAATATAGGTGAAACAGAGAAAGACGAAGAAAGAAGTAAAATGAAACAGTAGTAAACTGTGAAATCATAAGAAAATAAATTTCAGTGTTTTCAGTAAATTCTGTAGAATGGTTGAAGTTTCAGTCAGCTAGAACGACACTTGATTTGATTTTAATACCTATGTACAATTGAGTGTACTTTCCTGTACATAAAATACTATCAAGTTCCAAGCTGAGTACACACTGATTTCAATGGAATATTGGAAAGTGACAGGTAGGTGAATCGGATTGTGTGGCTGCATGGATGTTTTGGATCTCAATGTTCTAAGGAGGAGGAAATGAAGCAGTTAAGCGTCTCTAACTTTAGGCGGTGTACTGTAAGTAAAAGAATCATTGGAAAGTTCATGGTGGACTAAACATGGTTGACTTAAGCACGTGATATCTCTGATATTATTTGAAATTAGAAAATCGACTTCCTAATGTATCCAGATTTTCTTGGTCTTCGAATAGTGTCACTCTGATATCACAGTACACTGTGTAATGTTGCATCTAAATTCAAATGTATTAGGCTATTTTTTTCGAACATATATATTGATTTACGCACTCCATACTATTATGTGAAACGAAAAACTGCATAGGGTGGCTACTAATCGTAATCGAAGTGGTCGCGTGAAAGATGATTTCCATGAAAAGTGGTGTATTCAGTGTGTCTCGTGGTCAACTTCTATCACCTTGGTATAGCAGACATATCCTATTGTCACTACACTCAGCAATTTTGCAGCTAGATATGACACCTAGAAAGTTTTAGAATTACATCGGAAATCTTACTACTCACTTCCCAGATACAGTATGCCAAAGAAAGCAATAATAATTCTGGCACCAATATTCTTTTCAAGAGATATAATTATGATTTTGCATAATAATTTGTTTACTATAAGTATCACAATGTGAAAACGTATTATTTACTGGGTGACAAGGTTTTTCTAACTCAATATGTCATTAAAAATCAGATCAGTTACAGCTGACTACACTGCTTTGAGACATTCGTTTTATGTTTTTCTGTATTCCTTTTTATTTACCTTAGGGGCAATAGAATTTTCCAGGCATCCAATGAAATCCTACGATAGGATTGGGTTGTTATGAAGATGACATTACTTAGGACGAAGACATACGTAGATATTTTAGTCATATCACTTCGAAGGTAAGAGGTGATTCAACTCAATTACGAAATGGAAAGTTAGGAGGAGAAGCTTCCAATGTTTGACTGTGGTATAATAAAGATAAGGAAAGGAGTAGTTGAAGTCAGTGAATGTTTTTGTGAAACGTTCCACAGGTGTCGAATCATCCGCATCATATTAGTAACTGTGGTTAAATTTTGCTTTTGTCTTTTTGAAGATATAGGAAACATAATCAGAAGTCATCTTCCATATGATGTTCACTTTAATCGTCGTAATTTCCTCTACCACGTGTGTTGCTTGGTGCCTGTTGGTGTAGTTCCATTTCGATTTATTCCAGGGTATGTATAGTGGAATAGAGTCATCGTGGTTGGTGAAAATTATGTTAGAATACGTCTGTGAGATTAAGTATCCATCTCATTCGTGCACGAATCTTTTATTTCTTGTGTTACATTTAGTGTTGACGAAGTGACCATTTCATGTTTCATATCAGCTTAATTTTCAAGTATTGGTTTTGTAGGGATTTTGTTTGATTGTATGGAAGATTTAATCACGAGCTGACATCAGTTAGAGAACCACTGGAAAACCTGGGAGTACTAGACAGCTATTTCTTCCTAGTTTGGGACTCCTCATCAGTACGCACCCACAGGGGTTCAAGCCCAGGCCCTTCTGGTTACAAGGCGATATCATCAGCTTATATCAAAAATAAAGATAACTAACTTTACTATCGTTATTTCATTGAAAAATTCCTATGCGATATTCATTTCATTATGCGCGATAGTTTTCCTGTATTTATTTGCGTTCTAAGCGGATGCAGATGCTCTGAAGCCTGAGCTTTCATACTTGAGTAACAGGAGTGTTACTCTACAAAGTGTGATTTGTAGTCTCACAACCGAATTTCCCTCTTTTTGTCTGGCTCAATAATTTCTAAATGAGCTTGAGGTGGGCAGCTGGTGAAAATCTAAATCAGACCCTGTTCATAAATGGTGAGTAGTGTACGGGTGTATTACAGACGAATGCATGTGTTATTCCCACCTAAACGATATATTTTACCTTAAAAATGTTCCAGTTGTCTCATATTATTCGACATTAGAACTCTGATAGTCTGCATATCGATTCAATCGTGCTTGAAATCATCAATTGTAAAACAAAATTTAACAAAATCGTTATCTGTTGTTTACACACTCGGGGGTTCAAACAACCTTGTAATAAAGTGTAATGACAACGGTCCAAAGTACACTGAAACGAATTTCAAAATATCATTCACAGTATCAACAAAGACGCTACAATATATAAATAAAGCAGTTAATAACTATGAATTCCATAAATATAGACGAAATCATGTAAGTAACAATCTTAAATATATTCTGCTTAAGACATGTGAGGCAGTCCAGTAAAGCTTTTAAAATGAACTTCAAGATGGCGTTAACTTCATATTTCGAAAGACAACAGATATGTCAAACTTACAACTATGGATGTCTAATAAGATTATCTAATTTGCGATACTAATTATACTTTGACGTCTATAATTATTCAAACTTTGTCATGCTGACTCATCTTACTTGGATTTTCAACTGACCAGAGTTGTTACGCGCATCAGTAACATCCATTCTTTAGGGCCCATTCATCTACACAAGTTTTAGGACGGTTACATATCTCTGCGTACTTTAACGTTATGTTGCTTCGCCATATTGACTTTAAGTCTTTTGACTGAAGAAGTTCACATGACGCAATTCTATTTCAGATATTAACAGTCAGACAAGTTCCGACAATTCAAAGTGTAATATATCTTCCTGTATATATGGTGGATCAAACATTATGTAAGTCAACATGTTGACAGTCTATTGTAACAATTCTGAGATCTTATTGACAATTAAACCAAGTGTTCTTCCTTGTAATTAGTATGAAATCTAGCATGGGCGAAATATTACCGGTGAGTATGAGTTTCCACAAACTCCTTGTTTCTAGAATACAGTCAATGGACAGACTCGCGCAAGAATATGTCTTTTACAGGTAGGAATGCGTGAATTCGTATTTTAGATCGAAACAATGATCCGATGAAGTATGTCATTTTTACAAGCATCATGGTTGTGATCACGATGATTACGACTTTGTTGGTGGCGAACATGTAAGACAGTGGAATTACAATTCCTGCTTACAATTGGGTTTTAGAAATACACTTCAAAACTTGCTCTCAACATGGCATATATCACTTGCTCTCATGTAAGTTAACATTGGTGAGGTTATAACATGTTTCATCATAAAGAAAGAAGTTAACATGTAATTTAGTGTCATTCCCTTGCTACGTGCGTGTCGCCAAACAATATCATTATACCGATTATATATATTTGAATATTTTTCTATTCTTTTGGAAAAATGAGGCAATCGACTGCTTGAGTTTTATAGTGATATAAGGGTCTGTTTTACATAATATGAAGAAGATAAAGAATCACAAGCCAGGAGTGTGACCGCCTCGACGAACCTGTACGTATACTGTTCGTTGTATGACGGGACCTACCATTACTAAAGCGCCATTCGGAAGGCTTTTCATGAATTCAAGTGCTAATTTCAGCCGGATCTCGCTTTCGAATGCCGTTCAGACTAACAGGTCTATAGCATGCAGCCACAGATGTTTTTGTGTGGCTTCTGTGTACAGCTAGTGGTGTTTGAAAACATTTTATGTGTATTGAGGTGTACACAGTCGCAGACTGGATTTGTTGTTTTCATAGCCAAAAGTACCTCTGTCAATCATAGATTTATCTGCAATTATGAGATCTTAAATACTAGAGTGGGATCAGTGAGTGAAGAGAAGGACGTTGCTAGGTGTTCGGTGTAGGAAATTTTGACCATGGCAAAGATATGGCGTCAAGGATGATGAATACTGTCTGACAGGTGTTAGGAGGATTTTTGTGTTACTGTTCATGTTAGTGGAACCATTCTGATAGAGAAAAAGTACATGTTTGGTCTCCCTAGGGCTATCAAGAATATATGAATCGAAACTTCAGAAGTCAGTTGTGGTGGTAATTTCGAATTGTACAGATGACACTAGTCCATCAATTATGCAAATGTTAGTCATACGATGACTAATTTTCACACCGGCGAATCGGCGCCATAAAACTGCCTATCAGATTTATGACCTAACTATCTTCAAGTGAGTATTTCGACGAACCGCTGATGAGACCCAAAATAATTCAATCGAGTGCCCCTCGGTAATATTGGTGAGCAGGATAAGAGTGGCACACAGGTCACAGAATGAAATCATTCCCTGTCATCTTGAAAAATACAAAAAGAAAGTGTATCAACCTAGAAAATGAGTCTCCTTAGAATATTTGAGATGTATTTTGAATTGATGTCTGAGAAAACTAGGCTGTCTAATGTGTTTTAATATTTCTCCTGTGAATAATCGGCATTTTATTTACAATCCACTTGTTTTACTGATTGGTTGACTCAATATCACTCATCAGTTCACGTTCCATGAAATGGGTAAGTCGAATTTTGTTAGGTAGGAAAACAGAACGACATCGTTTCTACTGACATTGAAGAAATTAATGTTGCTGATAGGTTTATCAAAGTAATATGAAATCAGAATTTACAAAATCTCAGCTTATAAACTGTAGGTTACTTAACGTTTTCAAGTGAATAAATTGGTTATTATGGACGACGATATGCAGATATTTGATCAAGATAGGAATGTGAATTATGAAAAAAGGCATGTGTTTACATGATGACAAGTTTATACCACATTTACATCGATTTTGTTACTTCAACGAAGGTTGCCTTGTAAACATTTCAAATTCCGTCTGACTCCTTCAACCCTCTTCAGACATTTTAGATTCTACTTAATATGAAGTGCTTTTGATATGGATAAATCAGTTTGCAGATGCCTAAATTACACTGGCATTTAATACCAACATCCAAACAACTTAGACCCAGTCCAAGATGTCAGGATATTTACTAATTGTTGAGAACTAGAATGGCTTTCATATCATTGGGCTGTGCCAAGAGTGTCACTAACTGTATACGGATTCCCGACATTCTAGTTTCATTCCTCCTTTGTGTTATCTTATCTTAAGTATAATATGTGGTAATCTGCAAACTAATTTCCATGGAGGTACTTTGTGCTCCAATAATGCACGTGGACGTGTTAGCCAAATGAAAATTGTTAGGTGTCCAATGATATATTCGGATTTCCAGAACTGTTTACAGTGAATGTCAATCACGTTGCAGTCTTCAAGTTGCATACAATCACGCGTAGTAGAGAATTCTAGGTAGGGTGGATGGTTTCGCTGTGGTCACATTCTTTTAGCACTAAATAAAAAAATGACCAGACTTTAGAGTGACAGGGGTGCAAAGCCCTATATATTACAGAATGAAGTGGTGCCAGTCTTTGAATATCCTCCTTTATTTTATATTGATTGATTAACCAACAAATAAAACATTCAAATTCATTTCAGATTATTTGGTGCAGTCTTCGCATCAGTTTTGATTCTTGTTCAAAAAGTCGAATCGCAATTTCCAGCGAATTATATCTTTCTTTTACTCACTGTGAGTTTACCACTATTTGAGATAAGTGTGCGTATATTTGATTCCTTCAAATAATGATTTTATCATTTTTCAAAAACAATGGTTGAGAAGAGAGAATGAAGCCAGTACCAGTCAACTAGATGCTAAATTCCCGAATATTGTCATGATTCTTGTGGTAATTTTCACATGAGCCAAAGGCAAATTAGAAGAAAAATTTCTTGTTGTGTTAAACTATGACATTATGCGCAATTTTGCTGTCGAACTGTCGACTAGTTATTTTTGACTTCGTTTGTGAAGATGGCTGACTACCCACATACTACTATTTTGTTGACTACGTGTTGACCATAGATGAGTCTTTCTTATTCTTTTATGCCTTAGTAAGTGGCGAAAACATCTGCGTAAAGTGAAAGCCTAACTAACTAGTTCTCTTCTATGAAGATTGTAATTCTCATTTCAGTGGGATATGTCATACACTTCTGTTTGAAAAAAACATTAAATTTCTTTAGAAAACGAACTGTTCAGTTACGGCTTCTGTGAGGATGTGGATTAATTTCGCTGCTGGCATCGAGCTGGATTGCAATTCAGACAAGTGTTTGAGGATAGATCCGTGTCACGACTCAACAGAAGTGCAAATTCAGGGGTCATTAAATTCTGTTCCAATTGGCTTCATTAGTCAGTAAAAATTATGCAGTGCTTTCTGATTTCCACTTAGCTGTCTAACTGATGTTGGTCCGTAACGAAATCCAGATTCTAAGCTTGTTAAATGTGAAAACAACAATGCAACGTAAATCAGTGCATCCTACTGCTTATATTTGAGTTTGGCATAATTTATACGTTTTACAGGTATTAACTTCGTCTTGTGGAATCGCTGGACTGACAGAATCTTTTCATTTATGGACAGCGTTATCATGGAGTTTGGCGATATTGCTAGCCGTGATAGCCGTGTTAGTTGGGTACAAACTGAGACCATTAAGTCGTACAGGGGACAATATTATGATAATTTTGGCATTCGTACTGATGCTGTTGGGTGTTATTCTGTTAGCTTCTGTATACTTTTCCGGCTATAAAGTGAGTGGCATTTTGACTGAACAACTTCCTTTTCTTAGAAGTTATTTGCATGATACCAATAAATTTCTCACTTCACATAACTAGTGTAATTTTCAATGACGTCTAGTGAAACTGTCCACGATACAATGAACTGATGTCGCAAGTTACCACTTCATCATTTTCTTTGATTCTTCACAAAATCACAAAATAATGTTTGGACTGTTCATTGCTAAATAACATGAGTACTTCATGCCATTTTCACGTAACTATCTGGTGATCTAGTTTTGTTTACGTTTTGGAATGATCCTGTCAATTGTACTTTGTGTTGACGTCAAGATTTGAACGATAAACTGTTAAGCAACTTTTATAACTGCTTAAGTTTTCTTCAAGTATCTTTTATTTTTCCTGCTGACTGACTAAACCAGTGCCTTCTACCTATGTTCCCATGTCGCCTCTTCATAAGGGCGCTTCAACTATGTATAAAGATTAAAAGAAAAGAACATTGATTTAGGGAAACACTAACTGAAACTAGTTGCCAAACGTCGTAGTTCTTGTGGTCCAATCTGTCTAGTGGATCACTTGTTGGTATCTTAAGAAATTGTCTCTATGGAACACTATCAATCAACTATTATTATTTGAAGATATGGCCAATTGATATGTCTCAAATAAGACTAGATGCGTATCCGGGATTAAACAATCAGTCACTATCTACCAAAAAACTCAATTTATTATTATTATCAAGATCAATGCAAAGAATATGCAATACACAAACACAATTGGAGACAGAGAAATATTATGACATAACTTGTAGTTCATTACAACATGAACCTTTTATTGTTATTATCTTTTCTTTTCAGGTAGCAGCGTATATAGTCTTCAGCGTACTTTTTGGACTTGGCTTAACTGTGGTAAGCAGTTGTGTCAAATTTGAAAATATTCATGAAACTCCGTTGTATTCAGTATCTTCCCATTACAATAGAAGCCTAAATGTCTATAGATTTTGTTTTTGCTATCACTAGTGAAACCGAAATGACAAGCCTCCTACATGAGGAATCGCTGCTTCAATAAACTCAAAATTGCATTTAATGTGAAAGGTGATATCAGTTTCCACATCATTTGAGGACGTTGACTATTTAGATGGCTGGTTAGATTTCCAGCCTATACTTAATTAGGAAAGAAAAGGGGAGTTGAGCGTGATGCTGGTGACCCTTACTCGGAAAATCGGTCAAACTGCTATAGACACATTAGTACAGAAGAGCGTTGAAGATGCAGCACTTCTACACATAATCCTTTGAATCGTTCAATGAATTCAGTGGTCTCCAATAAGAAAACAATAATGAGTTGGAGAGTGAAGCCCTTGAAGACCACTGCTTTTATTGTCGATCTTGTAATTTCAGTTCTTTCTTATGAAATCCCAAGTGTTATTCGAGGTTTACGTAGATCTTGTCTCCTGCTATTTCCACTTACAACGAATTAGTTTACTGTAACTGTGGATGAGTTCATAAGGAATTTCGGATGAATTTCTGATGCCTCCCAGCTATGTTTGTTCCAACAGGCTAATGACTCTTGAAAAGCTTAGATGCAAATTAGAAGTTATTGAAGTCACTTCTAACAAATAACACGATCCCAACCTCCTTATCAGAGTTTGTCATAATTACACAATGATTGAAATAGGTGGTTTTTAAGGCGTTGATAGTGAAGGTGCTTACCTCACTCAACACAGTTCATTGAGTTTTATCGGTAGCATTTTTCATCAGGAGGAGATTTCACACCTTCTGATTATAAAGAGGTGCTGTGAAGGTCAATATTTATTTGACTGAAAATAGCCTCTTCAAAATTCACTATAGTTCCCAGACTTATCGAGCACCTTCCGATATCTGAAAACCTGGAATCCAGTGACAACCCAGCGAGATCTGGTAAATTAGGACAAACTATGCAAAAGTTGTTAACACTGGGAATCAATTGAGTGAATGATATTCAAAGCAATAATAATAGAAACAGAATCGTGCAATTTCATTTGTCAGTTACTATGAGTGTGTAGATCAATGTGAAGTATGTACCGTGGTGGAGAGGGAAATTACTATTGCCTTTGGGCATTTAGATAACAGGTTGTTAGGTTTGTTATAACGAGCTGTGAAACATTGACTGTAATAATCATAATAAAAGTAATGATAGAATCAAAGGACATTGGATGACATTAAAACTAAATAAAGCTTTCCTTTCTGCACATATAAAGTAATAACTGCCATAGCTGTTCTTGGCATTTTGTGTAGAATGGTGAAAGCTGAAGTTTGCGCCAGTGTTGATACTCCCTGATGGTCCACACTAGTTCTGAGCACTCAGTGGACACAAATTTTAAATTCTTGTTTCGATCATGATGAAATCTGTTCTACAAGCATCATAAGACGATTGCCTCATTGTTGTTTTTATTAACGTCTGGCTTTATTTCATTTTTATTTTTTATTTTGCTTGTAACAGGCATTATTTTTAACAGCACAAGTTCTAAAACTTTGCTCTCAGAAGTCGAGAATCACTTCGTTACCAGTTAAATTGGCTCTCATTACCTGGGCCTTGATAATTTTGTTATATCTGACCATATCAATCAACTTTCCTATGGAAGAATGAGAGCATTAAGAAGAAGTCTCCTTCCGAAGATCTAGAATTATGTATTAACCATTATTCGACATTTATTTATCCATAAGACCATAAAAAAGCTGAAGTTCTTTTCTAAAATCGCTTATGAAATTAACTGAAATCTTCATTTCATTAATTGAACAAAACGCAGACTTAACAAATTCAAAAAGGAAGGGAGATGCTGATTAACTGATATATTCCATTTCTGTACACATAGCTTGATCCGAATAAAGTTCAATATCAGCGGTAAGAACTGATGTTTTTTTCTTTACTTTATTTCTGTCACAATGGATGACTGATAATTTCTGTGTGTGTCGAGATATATTTTCTGTGCGTTGAGAATTTCTGCTCATACGAAAAGCAAAGAATAACAGTGTAATTCAATGTCTTTGGAACTATTGCATAAATCCAAATTATTTGTGATAAATAATGTGCGAAAACAAATCAGATGTTCATGCTCACCCTCAGAATTCACTCATTGTTCAAGTGTTTGTTTGTAGGGATTTGATTGATTGGTTACAAGATTTCATCATGAGTTCACATTGATTACAGAACCATTGGAAAACCTGGGAGTACTGGAAAGCTGTTTTGCCCTAATTTTGGACTCTTCAACAGGATTTGAACCCCATGGGTACGCACTGATGAAGGGTTTCACATTTGGATGAAATAGCTTTCCAGTGCTCCCAGGTTTTCCAATGGTATTCTAACCCTTGTCAGCTCATGATGAAATCCTGTAATCATTCTTTGTTTGTTTTAAACTCAGTAGGATATTTTGTTATTAGTTGTAATAAAGCCTTTTTACTACCCTGAAGTAACTTAGACTATTTTTCATGTAACTGAAAAATTTTAAGTATGCTTATTTCATATTCATGCTTTTGATAACCTCAGAAATGTGTATATAAAGTGATTCAGTATTCTTACTTTTCAAAATATGAATGTTTTACGGGACCGATGTACGATACTATGCAAAGGGAGATATTGATAATAGTCTACAACCTGTTGGAAATTTTTTGTGTGATGCGTACGCCAAGCATCTGACTCGTTTACGAGAACTGGCTGACATCTCATTTATTTTGAATATCCGATTCTTGTCCTTTATGCTGAGTGCAAAATATTTCCGAACAGAATTTAGAGTGATGAAGGTGTGCTTTACCTTTTCTATTCTGCCTTTGACATTCTCATCCATGTACACTGCCTATATTTGAAACGATCTCTCCTAGATCAGTGAAGGGGGTAACCTCTTTCAGATTTATTTCGTCGATAGTGATTGCTGATGCTCGTTTGTTATCTTCATCAGCTCCGTCTTATCAATATTCACCTAGGTTTCTGTCTTCACTGCCCACTGCTTCAGTCAGTTTGTTCGTTTTCGCCTGTAAGTCTTTGAGTTTGCGTAATAATAGACATATATTATCTGTGAAATCAAGATCTTTTAGAGTCTTCTTATCTGTCCAGAATATTCCTGTATTCTCGCTTCCCACATTTTGATCCATAATTTACTACAAACCACTTTAAACGACAGGCATAAATTGCATTCCATCTTTTGCACTTACCAGGGTAGTGGCACTTAACTTACATTCAACATAGGTGACGAAACGGACTCCTAGAAGGAATCAGAAAAAAACATGACGTTTTGTAATTAAGATATAAGTAGAATGAAGGTCTACAGAACCTAACAAAAGAAATTTATAACACCAATTTAACTAAATTCCACCTACTTATTATTCAAAAACATTTCCAAAAGGCTATGTTGATTACCTTGCCAGAAAAGTCTTTTGAGGATGGAATGCCTGCAGATTCATGATGGAGATTACATAAAAAAGCACTGTGTATCCTGCATTCAATTTCGCATTCATTTTCATAGTTGGAAGACAAGACTTATATTCATTCATATCAGGATGAGTGGATAAATGGGGGCGTCAATTCATTTTTAAGCTCAGTCAACAACACATACACCTGAGAATGACCACATGCTTGTTGTTTAAGACAGTTGTCATTCTACACACCTCCACCTTCTTTTTTTCAGTACAGTCCTCTTCCTCTGGGCCCACGACTGCTCATAATCTCTCGTCTCCTCCATGTTACCCTCACAACGACGACTCATTCGTCGCTTCATATTATGATTCCGATGGAGCAGTGGGCTGGCCGTTTATATCATTTGATGACTTCGACAGCCTGTATGCCAATCCATCTCCCATATATTTTTTTGCGTGATTGGCTCTTGGTTAGTTTATTTTTACAATATCTTTTTGCTGAGTCTTTCTGGCTACTTAATCTGCAGTATGGAACGAAGGCAGCCGTTGGTGAAAGTCTGAAATATGGTGATATAAATGGTTAAGATTGTTTTCTGGAACAGTGGACTCTAGCTGGGATTTGATTGGACAACGTTGACCAAGCGAATTTACACAAAAAACGAAATTCCTCACGGGCATTGTACACAAAAGATGTCAATGTTGCCTAAGTAACTTATTTTTTTCACTGACTTAGGACAGTTCTGTCTTCTGATATGTTCTTAGATTTAGAGAATAAAAGTGTATTTCACAGGTAACTGTTGTATTCGACATCTAGTTGAGACTGTTATTGTGATTCACTAAGTGAACCCCAAAATTGTAGCAGCTGAGTGGCGCTTTTAATCTCATTGAATTAGTGAAAGCTCTTATCGAGCATTTAAACCAAGTGATCTGAGAGAATAAAAGTAATTGCAACAGTAATAGTAGAGGCTTGTGTATATGGTTGCTCTTCGTGCGGCATGTAACTCAATTTTTTATAGAGTTGCAAGTTGGAATTTATTTGAATAGCTGTTTTAAGTCCATAATGAAGATCAGGCCTGTCTGAAAGAACAGGTAACTAGAAACTCTGTTAGTGAACTAGTCAGGAACCTATAGATTGACAAATGAATTGTAGGAAGACGTTACTTGAAAACACAAAACAGGATCTTCAGTGGAACTGGAATAGGAAGCGAGAAGTTGGGTGTGAGTACTAGGAAGACATGGCGGAGACCATATGAGGAGAACATGAAGTTGTGTGGGTGATCACGAAACCCGGTGTTCCACCCGGACCTCAAAAGAATATCAATAATAATAAATAACAGCTAAATACATATTTGACTGAATTCTTCTCTTCAAGTCAGTAATGGGATTAGGAAGGTATTACTGGACAATTTCAACTCATCTCTAACACTTCATTGCAATCTCAAGTTGAATATGATGCGTCTTCAATTTTCTAGTATCCGAATGTATTGATCTATGAAATAAAGAGCATAATTTGTTAACAAAATATTATTGTTTATCACATAAGTGATCATTACAATACGGGATCACCCACCGTAATATTTTTCATCAAATCACTGATATTGTGTCTGAAATATTTGTAAACAGCTGTACTTTGAATTCACCAATTAGTGTTAAAAATAATCAGAGTAAAGACGCATAATCTACAGTACAAAAATTTTGTTTTTAAACTAGTCAAAATAACCTCTACTAACGAAAAAAAATGGATTGCCGTGTAAATATATGCATATTTGCATAGTATTTCACATCAAAAAATCATAAACCAAGTGTTGAACAATGTAAACTCTCAAAGCTTCATAATTAGATTAGGCAAGAATGAACGCAACAGACTCGATGTAACTGTGGTTAGAAAATAGCCAGCTTTAATCGCACCTGAAATAAAAGGCGATGATATTATGTGAACCGTAGAAAAAAATAAACAAAGCCCAGTGCAAGGCGTATCCAGCAGGTAACCTAATTCTTCTTCACAGAACATCCTCATCGTCGGTGTAGTTAAAAATCAACAAGTACCCTTACATGATACCCGCAACTGTTTATAGCAATTCATTTATATCTGTGAAACCAGTTATATTGGAAGAACTGAATGATAGACACAAGTCTGTTTCTCTGAACATGTTTCAGGGAGCTGCTGGTTAAAGAGGCCGCTATGTTCAATATCTTCAATAATATCTGACAGACAGAAGACAATGAGTAGATGCACTGCCATCATTCAAAATAATTAACAGACAAAATATCTCAAGTCTTTTGTGGTTTGCTATGGCTATCGCAATAAATTAGCTGAAACCTGAGTATCAGAAAGAAATATGTCGTTGGACTTCAGTTAGTCTTGTACTTTATCCCTTAGAAACTATTTTCAAATCTAATTAAATTTGACGTCCTTAAGAGATAATTCTTCTTGAACTTATGAACTCCACTCACCATATTAAACAATCATCTTCTCATCTCGCATACTGCATATCAAATGTTGATCTTCTCATATCGAAATTCGGTAGGCAGAATGCACAATTTTGTTTAGTTAGCATATATTTTTGTCGTTTTGAGGAATCATCACATTAACACATCTTACGTTGCTGGAAACCAGAGAGGTGTCATAAAATATATCAGTCGTTCAATGAGTCGAGCAGAAAGGTGCTATTGTATGACCAGTCAAGAAATGATGATCTTTCATCTTTTGGGTAACTCCTTTTGCTTAGGAAAGAACATCAGGCACTCGAATGGTTACATAACTAGACCTGAAGAACAGACTGCTAGGTGACAGATAGATCTTCAGCAATGCTACTTTGAAAGCATGCACCGCTCTGGCAGATAAAATACAAATAATGTTGCATTATGTTAACAGTCATTCAGGGACACACTACGATTGTCCTTTCAGTATAAAAAAATGATTGCAATGTTAATCTGGCAGTATTGAGTTGAATGCGATATCGAAGGAACAGACGATCGGTCGGCCCTTTTATATGCAGCAATGTTCAGTCATAGTGAAAGACCGGTTGAAGCTGATGTGATGGGGAAGAACCACATCTCATTTCTTGAGAGTGTGTCTAAGTGGAAGTAGGCAGCAAGGTGGTGACAGAGGGTTCTTAAAAAGGAAACATAAATTTTGAAGGGTGAAATAATGCAACCAGGGAGGTAAAACAGCTAAGCTGATTTTAATGTACCGCTTTGACTATCCTTGTTGAACCTTATCTAATTGTCATTCATTAT